TGGACAAGGGCCTTTTATTTTTGTATTTTATTATTCGTACTTTATTACATGTATTTGCTTAAGATTGACATATGATAGAAAAACATTCGTTTTCTTATTGTTCTGTTTGCCTTCTTATTGCGATGTTGGAATATGGCTGCATGATTTCGAAGCGCTCAACGAAAAACTTAACATAGTACATATAATCAATCGAGTCTAGTTCGGTAAAATTTTTTTCTTGAATGCGGAGCATGATTGAAAACTTTATCATTGAAATATAGGGTGTGGATGTGGGTGTGTGGGTGTAGGTGTGAGGTGCTAGTGTGGGTATTCGCTTGTTGCACATCCTCACACCCACCCACACCCACACCCATACCCACACCCATACCCACACCCTCAGCCACACCCACACCCTCAGCCACCGCCAGCCAGCCACACCCACACCATCCACATCCACACCACCCTCAGCCATACCCACACCCACAGCCAGCCAGCCACACCCACACCCACACCCTCATTTTTTGATGACAGTTTTGCTAGACCTCAAGCATATGCAACAGTTGAATAAACACAAACATCATGTATGTCATCACGTACATGTTCTCGTAATTCAACTAAAATATTATTATTAATATCATGACTTTTTGTTGCTAAATACAAAGATTTTCCTGATAAAATGCGTGTTTGCTTATTATTACTACTAAGTATCTCAGCAAGATATTTAAGAGTCTGTTCACTAAGCTCGATATTGTTTTCTAGAGAGTTAATAAATATATTAGCAACTATTGATGAAACTGAGTGACAATCAGAATTATTCTGTGAACTTTTCTCAAAAATGAGAGTATCATCATCTTCAACTATCATCAAATTATCTAACAATTTGATTGACAATCGGTCAACTCTCGGTATAATCTGTCTTCGAGAAATAATTTCTAGAACTATAGTTACATAATAAGTAAATTTATCAGTAGAATCGTTGATAGTTTTTATTAGAGCTTCTATAATAAACTCAGGTATGTCGTATTCTTTTTCAACAGTCAATTTAATCGCTGTTAACGCTTCAATTTTTAATTCAATACTACCTATTTGATCATCGATCAAATGAATAATATGTTCTAACTGGCTCCGATTCAAACCATTGGTATGACTATGTTTGAGATAATTATTAATAGTCATACAGCAATATTGTTTTGTTTTTCATTTAAACTGGTTTCTTCAAACAAATTACTTAATCGTGATATAATGGCTTCATTGAATAACTCTTTACATCTTTCATTATTATTACTTTGTTGATAAATATAGATTCCTGACTCCTCTGTATTTACATTATTTTCAAGATTAATTAAGCATGTTTTAAAAGTATCCTTGTAATCTTTGCTGTTATTATCTGCGAGTGTTAAAATTTTTATTATCCACTTTGTAAATGTTTTATCACTATCATTTTGACACTTTTTAAGCATTTCTAATCGTTTATTGTTTAATATAGCTTGATTTCTGATAGTAGAATTATAGATAGCTGAGACTGCTGCGAGTCTGACTTCATTAACTTCTGATGAGATAATTTCTTGAAGTTTCTCAATATGTATAATGGAACTATCATAGATTCTCTTTGCAATATCTGCAATAATACCAGGATAATTCTCATACTCCTTTAAAGGTTGAGTTTTAAAGATATTTAAAATTCCACGATTTTCTTCTGCTTTATTTGTATCTATAATTTGTTGTAAATTCTTCAAATTTTTAGTAGTATCATTTAGAATCTTTTTCTCCACTGACTCTTGATCTTCTATACATTGCATCAATACTTTTATTGCGTTATCGTGTAATACTTGTTTTTTTGAAATGCGAAGAAATATATCACCAATCATTCTGTCTATAATAAATGATCCTACGATAGCATTTACGAACCATTTTTCTTTAGGTCCTAGAAATTTTTTTGGTAAATATTCATCCTTGTCTACTCTTTTTAACATCTGTCCACTTTGTAATATTTGATAAAAATTAACAACTTCCCTAAAAGTAGCTCGAAAATTAGATTGATCACTTCCCTCCTTATCTGGTACAGTCGGATATATTTCTGTACTGGAGTTAATGTCAATTTGTCATAAGAAATGAAATGCTTATAAGAAAATCAATAGAAGTGAATTTCAAAATTCTGTTTGATAAAAAGTTAGGTATGGAGGCTCACTTTAATTTGAAACAGACCTGACCTCGACAGAGCTCACAGTCATGAAGTTATTTCGGTTCTCGTGGAAGCCATAAAACAAATTGCAAGTCCAGTTTAGTAATGTATACAGGGCTGAAATTTTTACCACAAGCAGAGCTGGACAAGCCAAAGATTTTTCAAGCCAGAAGTCAAGGCTGGCCAAGTCCAATCAAGTCAAGTCAGCTTTGAAAAATTATTCAGAACAAGGAATTCGCTACCATTTTTCGATATAACGAGAGTTTTTATAGCTTCAGACTTCCCTCTCAACGAAAAGTTACCTATAATTAATTGAAATTTCTGTCCACAGTTGCTGTGACTTGAAAAAATTATAGAGAGAAGTCTTGACTTGCCCCGCTCCCACCACAAGCATTTCTCACTAGGACCATTCATTCCTGAAAGTTTCAGTCCGAACCTACACTCTAAAGAAGCAACTCGATTCTAGGGGATCCCTTAAGTCATATTATCTGTTAGTTTATCGTAGTACGTGAAATCGGTTAGCACTTGTAGATTTTATATGAAAATATGAAAATGATGTTGTTTAGTCTATATCAGACAATATATACCCACTTGCTGAGGCAATTATTTACCAACAGGGTATTATGAAAATAATATTTGTTTTAAATAATTGTTATCACTTTTTGTTATAGAGGAAAGATCCAACAAAATTACGAAGCCTTCATTTCTTTGTTTAACTCACTAGGAAGTATTACATAGACATTTCTACTCTTATCTGCTAAAACACTTTTTTTCTCTTGTATTTTGCACATAGATGTTCTTTTCTTTCTTCTTTTCATACAGATAATACCTTATCTCCTCTCTTTAGTTTATATAAAGGGTTTATAATAATAACTGATGATAAATTGTTTATGATATTTTTCATTATTTTCTGCGTATAGAGCGCAGAAAATTTTATTAGATACATATCTAATGAAGATTTCTAATTTCTGAAATTTTCATATCTCAAGCTAAAACTAATAATGCAATATATTGACAAGATTGAAATGCAGAAATTTTCTTACTCCGTTTTTGCACTATTTCTTACCGTGAAAACATTCCAGGGTCATACCATCGGTAGTCAACTATGAAAATTCACAAAGTATTCAGAAAGTTTTCCTTCGTATCAGACTTTGTAGAGCTTTTTCTCTTGATCATTTTCGTAGCAATCGCTCTCAAAATTCTTGGAGGAATGACGATGCTGTACGCAAAATACTAAACATTATAAAATAGAGTTAACATGTAAAAAGCAGTCCATTCACACATTTCAGTATGGCTACAATGTAGAAAAAACTGACCTACTAAGTATTATGGAAGAAAGCTTTTTCTACAAAACCCTATAGTTCATTTCTCAGATATAGGCGAACCAGATGATTGAAACTCAATTGAGTGTTTAATATGGCATTCCTATAAAAGAAATCGGTCATCTTCTGCTTTTACCATAGATATTTTGTCTATCTTATCGTCATTTTTCAATGAACTACGAAAGAGTTTTTTACCAAAATGATCAATAAAAAAAGCTCGACGAAGTCTTATACGAAAGAAAATTTTCTCAATGTTTTGTGAATTTTTGGCTGATAATCGGTGGAACTAAATTATAATATGGAGCATAAAAATTTGTGTATTTCAGTCTTCTTAATGCATTTCACCACTAGTTTTAGCTTGAAATGTTAAAGTTTCAGAAGTAAAGATCTTCATTAAATATATATGTGATAAAAATTTCAGACATCTGCATCGAGAACAAGAGTAAAAAATATCGTTGATAACTTATCGTCAGTTATTATGACACACTCTTTATAGTCGGAAGAAGAGACTTTTTGTTTCACCCTTTTCTTCATTGTGATACTAAAACAAGTTAAACGCTACTTCGCTTTTTTCATAGATTTTTTCCCTCATCTTTCAGACATACAAAGATGCTGTTTGTTTTGTTTTCTAAGTGATTCTTGAGATCAGATCTAAAAATAAATGTTATTCAAATGAAAGTCTGAAGGGCGTTAGTGTGTGGGTGCGGGTGTGGATGAGTGTGGGTGAGGGTGTCGGTGAGAGTGTGGGTGCCTTTTTATGGTATCCAATCAACATCCACACCCACATCCACACCCTTTTTTTTATTATGCAATAACTGTGATCCTAAGATCCTAACAGTACCAGAAATGAGAAGAGAGAGAAAAAAAAAGTGAAATAAAACGTACACAGAAGATATAAAAAGAAGGAAAGATTCTACATGTAAAAATGCAGAGGAAACAAAAAAGGATGATGAGAAAATTGCATCCAAGATGAATACAGAGTACAGAGTAGGAAATAAACAAAAGAAAAAAAGGAACGGACACACATGCATAACAGACCGCACATGAACAACATTTAAACAAAAGTTAAGACGGACAGAAAAAGACATAGATCTCAGCTTTAACAAAAAGAATCAGGAAAGAGTTGAAGTAGCTCTATTTCAGACATGTCATAATGTGGTATAGAAGAGTTTGAAGGGACCGACGAAAGCCAAGTTAAAACTTTTTCTAAAATTGATTTATAAAGGACGAATCTTTTAGATCTTCTCAACCCCATGATGGAAAACTCCTTATCCAACCAACTTTTTCTAAATTCAGCAAAGTTAGCTTTTTCGAAAATTAGAATATCAAGAGTGCATTATTCTCAAACTCTAGCAAACAAAAGGTTTTGACACATCTGTTTTTCACCACAAGGATAACTTGACTTTAACATTAAGGATGGGCAGCCGTACCTTTCATGCTCAGGTGCACACGGTGTTAACACTGCATTGGCGAGCCGTAAATTATAGCGTTCCAGAAGAACGAATAGTTTTGCTAGGTTCATTAAGTGATCCCATGTTTTTATCCAAAACTTGGACACGTGTATTTCTAATGCTACCTGATCAACGGTAGAGAAAAAATCGGGCATCTCATTGTCCACATCACGTGCTAAGGAGTATTCACATCCTTCGCAGTCCATTTTTAGTATATTAATCCTCTTGTGTTGAAAACAATTCTTTAAGCCTATGACAGATGCGACAAGGGGCCATTGATTGTTATCTTCGACCGACAGCATTTTAGCCCCTATCATGTGGAATGTCACATTGGGATGCAAACGTGATCTATGTTCTACAGTTGGATCAAATGCTAGGCCTTGACACTTCCATGTATTTGCTAGTTCTGTATCAAAGTTGTAATCACTGCTAATGCCAAATGAATAAAATAGACAGGGTTCTTTGGGCGGTATATTACATAAGGAATGTGCACCCCATGCAAGTCCGTTTTTCAATTCACCTTGACCAAAATTCTTAATCTCACATATTTGACTGGTTCCGTTTAATAATTTTTTGATTCTGACACCAGTACGGGCTAAAATTTCCAATACTTCAGAGCTCGATAAATTGCTCTTTTGCGTTGGCCTTTTCACCATCAAAGAGTATCCGTATAACACAAAGCTAAGTGCGACGCATCCTATTATACAATAAATTCGATGAGCAGTTAATGCAGTTGCCATACACATAATCGTTGACTCTCAGATATGGCTCTAGACTGAAAATAAAAAAGGTTTTATGGGAAACTAAAAAATGAGCTTCGCAATTTGCAACGAATTCGAAACCCTTTTTAGGTTTTGTAAGAAAAAGGTTTCCTACACTATTACTTTTTTGTTCACTTAAACAAAGGTT